TCGACGAATAACCCTGTGCATATTTCGTTTTTCTAGGTCATAGTTCATGTTAGAGGACAAACTCCATAATTTGTCAAAATTCAGTTTTTGTGTCGTGATAGCATTCTGAAAAACCAATCATTATAATGAAACCATTATGACTTCCAACAATTTTGATATACCCTACTCCACCTAGTGATATATACCTAGTTATTCTAGTTATCTTAATATAATGGAAATATTTTCGAAATTGAACATGTATTTGAAAGGAAAGGGAAAATTGCGATTCGTGTGATGAGACTCGATATTGTATTATTCATCGATTAGATTAGATTGATTGATTTATTGATCTCTTCGATGCATTTACATGATACGAGATAAGTCTAACCAGGGTCGGCTGAGAATCAGGATAAAATAACATTACATGATAACTATCTTATGAAAAAGGAAATATGCACCTACAGGGTGTCCCAAAATTGCTGGGACAAAGAGCTATTATGTTTAATAGAATGGAGGTAAAAATAAGTTGATAGTACTCAATTTGTTTACCAAAATCCATAAACCAAAATGTACCGTTCGTCTGTGAGATGAATTCAAAGCTTACATGAAAAAATACATTTTTGTTTGCCGTTCAGAAATGACTGGAACAAATTTGATGAAATTTAACAAATGTGCATTTTAGAGAATAACTCTCGTTTCATAGTAATCAAAGAAACCCAAAAGAAATTGTGAAGGGATTGAAACTACCCTCAGCCCCTGTAATTTTTTTCAGAACAATCTCAAGGGTGGTAATAAGGTATTCATTTTTTTTCAACAAGAAGATAGATCAATTATCTCATTCTTGTTACTCGTGTAAAAACTTACTCCCCTAATTCCCCAAGAAAAAAATGTTTTATTTGATACTGCTAACAGATATTTCCCGTACAAATTTAATAACATTGTGATACAAAATTCATTTGAAATATATGTTCAAAATGACGACCACCTTCATCAAGAACTCTTCTCACGGACAAACGGTACATTTTGGTATATAGTATATAAATAAATTGGGTCCAGTCAACTTATTCTGACCTCTATTACACGTGGTAGCTCTGTGTCCTATAATAATAATTGAGACCTATTCAGTTATGAATGTCGTTCTGAAAACTCCGCTATAGAGAATAAAATCAGTTGTACATATCAAAAATGATTGGAATTTGCCTATATTTTCCTTTGCTTTTATTGTATGAAGTTGGATTTTTTCAGGTGTATATGTAAACAATCGAATTTGCTTATAAGTGGACGTTATTTTTTGCCCATGTGTTGTATTGGTGGACACTAGACATCACTATTTTTTTGAAACCTATTTTTGTGCTGGAGGGTGCAATTTAATAGCTTGTATGAATGTAATTTTGCAGAATAAATTTCGATTCAGACTATTCATCGCGTATATTGATTTGCTTGTTGAAGTTTAATTGATGGTCAAGTTCTATCCCAAGAAATTTGGTGTATTCAGACATCGAGCACCAGGTGTTCGATGATTCAGATGAGTGCATTAATGTTATCACTAGTTGATTGTTTCACGTTATTTTCATTCTTCAGCAGTGCATCACAGATTTTTTTCTCATCAGTATAATAAGATGGTTTCTTATGGTTACTCATAACTGATGCTTGTATTGAAATTTTTCTCGCAAATTTTGCTTCCGCTCGGCTTCGCTAAACGCTCCGCCTCGCACATGCAAAATTCTCTTGTCAAACAAAATGTCACTTTTGATCCTAATAAAACAATCTACTATTTCTACGGCTGTAACACAATATTGCTATATTGTTTCACTATGTTCTATAAATCAATGAGGTACTTTGTAGGTCATCAATTTTATTTCCGTATCTAGCGTTACCTGAGATGAAATCAGATGCCGTTGTTATCTGTTACAGCCGTAGAAAAATAATAGTGTATAACTCTCACTGAATGCTTATTCCACTATCATTCCGTGCTCGTTAAACAATATACTATACTATCACTTATTACCCAATGGTAAATAAGATGAGTATATGATAGTGTATTTTATAATTTTTCCCTTGTTCAATTCCTACTTTCGAGGTGTTGATAGAAACAATCTCGATAGGTTTTCGAACTCTGATCCTGTTTGTAAAAAGAAATTGCTATTAATCTACTCATTTCAAATCTGATTTTTATCAGTAGTACCAAGCTCAAACTGACGCCCGTGACATATATTAATTTTTTTGCTTCCGTATCTTTGAGATATAAACGACCATATCTATAATTTCGCAGAAGCAGATATCAAAACTTATCAAAACAAACGCATATCACGGTAATGTCGTCAGGTGGAATCATAGTGGAATAGGAATAGGAATACGGATGTTGTACCTAATTGGTAATGTGTAGATATGTTATTTAGATACACCCTGTATACTAATATTATAATGAGGAAACATTTGTTTGTTTGTTTGGCAGTTTGTTTGTATTGAATTGGCTCCGAAACTACTGGACCGATTCGAAAAATTAGTTCACCATTAGAAGCCGACATTATCCTTGATGAACATAGGCAGGCTCCATTTTACTGTGGGAAAATGCTTCATTCCTACGGGAAAGCAGATAATAGGACAAAGGGTCGCATAGCTAATTCATATACTTATGAAAATAATCAGTGATAAAACTATAACTAATGAATTTTGCACCGCAATGTTTAATTAGTGACATAGGTAGGTACATTCGAACTCTATTTAGTAAGTGTATTTTAGAAACCTACAAAAACTAAATTACCTATTTATCTATCGATTTCTATAGTCAAGGACATAATATATAGCGGGAGCGCAACTTGAAAACCTCACAAGTTATCAACTTGAAATATCAGAAATTTATTGTCATTTATTCATATAGTTTCTTCAAGTCAATTGTATATGAATATATTTTCGTTTATGCTCAGATAGATTCCTACATATAGTCTGTTGAGAATGTCGGAAAAAATATAACTTCATCAATTTTTTTAACATAAAAGGCTAGGCTAACAATATTTTGCACTTGGTATTGGTATTGGTAGGTTGCTGCGACCTAATTAGATCTATTGTGCCCCATCTGTTTCTGCAATATCAAGGATTTCTTGTTCATAGCAGCCCCTCGAGATTCAATTCCTTCAGGAATTTGAGGATTTTGAGAGGGTCTAGTTGTGGTATTTCTTCCACAGTCAGCTGGAATGTCCCCAGTATGTTCAATCTTTTGTGATGTACAGCATCACACTCCATCAGTATGTGATGGGGTGTTTCTGGTTCTTCCTCACAGAATCTGCAGATGCCGTCCTCCTGTAAGCCTAGCTTCCTTAGGTGTTCTTTGAGTCTGCAATGCCCCGTTAATATTCCCGTTATTGCTTTGAGACTTCCTTTGCTGAGATTTGTCAGTGTCTTGGATCTCTCTCGGTTGAAATTTCCAAAGAGATCTTTAGCCTGCCGTAGTCCTGGAAGTCTTCTCCATTGTCTGGTTCTCAAGGCTCCTTCCGCCTTTTCTAGTTCTCCTTGGAAATATGAATTTCCAAGGCCGCAAACTGACTCTGGTCCGATCAGTGGCGTTGAAGCCCCTTGTCGTGCCAGAGTGTCTGCTTGTTCATTCCCCTCCACTCCGATATGCCCTAGCACCCAGAGGAGGATCAATCTATAGTTCAATTTGCTTAGGCATTCCCATACCATCTTCGAGTTGATGTTAGAAGAGCTCAACGCTTTGATGGCTGCTTGGCTATCGAATAAAATCGCGATATCCTTCTTCCGGTATTTCCTGTCTAGGTTGAACTGGATGCATCTTTCTATGGCGTGTATTTCCGCTTGAAAAATGCTGGGGAATTGTCCAATGGATTCGGAGTATTTGGTGAGAGGCCCAAAGACTCCTGCTCCAGTTCCCTCGGGTGTTTCAGATCCGTCCGTGTACCAAGTAATGGTGTTCCTTCCTAGTGCTTCGATGGATTCTATGCTCCATTCGCGCTTGTTGCTCAGTTCCACTCGGAAGTTCTTCTCAAAACTGAACTTCCTAATGATTTGGTCTGTTGAAATATCGGCACTTACGTCTTCTTATATCGAGTTCAATTACAGACAGATATCCATCATGAGATCAACATATTATATTGTTCCTACTCTATATCAATGATCTGTTAGCAGATACCATCACCTGCCCTACCAAATGTTTTCTTCCAGAATTTCCCTCTCAGCCTGGAGAATAAACAACCTGGTATCACCATTTCCACAAAGTTCACATCTTCGCTCGGAAATGGGCATTGATACCAGTAATACTCTTTCATGGGGAAATCATGTCAGATCCATCGCGAAAGTTGATCCACAAAAACTTGGCTTCTGTTTCGGTGCGAAATGCTTCTTTACACCACCTGTTTTATAAATATACTGGAAAATGCTATTCGAAAAATGTCGGCAATCAATCCATCACCAGAAATACCAGTCAGACGGACACAACAAGCACAGTCGGCACATCTCTTTGTCATCGACCACAAAATATATCGAAGAACTCTTTCCACTAAAATTCGTTGGTCTATAGAATGCAAAGCTTGGAATTCTTCGCCCATGAAAGTAGGTATTCCCAAGATGTTGTTAACCTCCAAAAGTTCGAATAAATCAACCTCATACCTTCTGTTCTCAGAAATTGCTGATCTCTACTGATGAAACATAAACATATAGTAACCTCTATACTGTTCTGGATATGGAATGCAATCATTGTCGTATATTGAAACTTCTTTCTTGAATAATCATGAAGAATCACACCATTGCAGTTACGTTCAGGAAACATCCCTATAAAGGTCCTTATAAACTATTTCAATTGGACTTCGATACAGATTCATTTACTGTTGCTATGAAATAATATTCCATTATTTTTCATTTAACATTCCAGATCATCTCGGATTGTATATCAAAATTTCAGAACACAATTTAAGAACTTTTGCTACGAGTATATCCTCTTTAAATGAAAATATTAAGGAATCTCTAGTTGTTTGTACATTCGTGTTTTAGAGTTATCAGTAACTTACCTTGTTTATCTCGCTTGGTCAGGAATATGTTATCAAAATTAACATCATAATATGGAATATTTTTGTTTTTATTTGTATCCAACGTCATCTTTCAAGGATAAAACATACACCACGACAGAAAAAAACTCCAGATTTTTCGCATCTAAATCTTGCGACCGCCGTAAACAAACTGAATCATGAACTGAATCATTTAATATTTAAACAATTATTTATATCGATGAACTATCGTTCATTAGTTAGTTTATCTTTAACGCAAGTTCTGCATGAAATACCAATTAGACACGAACCGTATTAGTTAAGTACTCGTTAAATTAAGTTTTAAATACATATGTCGGTGTCAATCAGTGAAATCCGTGAATCCCTGAAATGCCTATAGTCAGTTCACATATTGCAGGCAAACAGCATAACTCTATAATCAGCCGTTCCTCTGTTTGCCGGATGGTTGAGAAAAAAATCCTTTCTGGATAAGCATAACAAAACAGACTACTTTTCCCAAACCTAACTCTTTTCCTAGAGAGTATATTTCTCGGAAAATTACTTGAGAGAACAAAATAGACTATTGTTTCTAAACAACCTAAAATCATTCGGCCTAAATGAACCTTCCTTCCGTCATTAATAGAAATGCCTGAAACTGTTAGGCAAACGGTGTACGAAATGAAGAGGTACACTCGTCTTCAGAGATCATGTCGCACCTGGACGGTCTCAGCTTTGATCACCGGCAATACGTGAAATGACTAAAGGCATTTCAGGGAATTACGTATTTCACTGATTGACGCCGACATGAAATATACAGCGAGAAAGAATTGGTACAGTGATAAGCAAAGGCAGAATTAAAAGAATTTCAGGTAAACAGCGTAACTCTACATTCAGCTGTTACCATGTTTGCCGGAAAAAGGAGACTACTTTCCCTAAACCTGACCTAACCTATATTCATAAGCTCGTCAGGAGTAACCATACCTTCGCAGACATCCATTTCGATGCTTGGTATAACTATCAGCAATAACCTTTCTTGGGAAAATCACGTGAGATCAATTATTGTTGAAAGTGCATCCCAAAAACTTGGTTTTCTGTTTCGGGCCAGGAGCTATTTCACTTTCAGTCAGCTGCTCATGATCTATGAGGCACAGATTCGACCTGTTCTGGAATACTGTTCCCATATTTGGAGTGCAGCACCCAAACATACCCTGAAACTGTTGGATTCTGTCCAAAAAAGGGCAATTCGTTTCGTGGGTGATACTCGCTCACAAACTCACTCACTTCTCTGGAACACCGTAGAAAAGTTGGCGATCTGCCTCTTTTTTATACATATTTTCATGGACGATGCTCTTATGAAATATCAACAATTGTTCCGCCCTTAGCAGTCCCCGCGAGAGTAACCCGTCGAGTTGAGGCTTCGCACCCCTTCGTGGTCACTTTGGAGGCTTGCAGAACACCTCTCTCCAAAGACTCGTTCATCCAACGAACAGCGAGGCTCTGGAACACATTGCCAAGGGAGGTGTTCTCCGAGGCATAAAACCTTCAGAAATTCAATAAGAACACCAATTCCTACCTCAAATCCCTCACGATGTTCTCTGAACATTACAGGATATCCCTTTTCGTGGGAACCAGAACATAAAAACAAGTACTTAAAGGAATTATCCCAGACCTCAAATTCCTCATATTCCTCATATCCCTGGTATATACCATGAATATGTGCTTGATCTTATGTCCTAAAAGGATATTCCTGGAATATGTTTTTCGAATATTCATCAGATATACTTTCCGAATATTCCAGAGCTATTCCTAAATCAGGTAGTTGGCATGCCGACCTATTCTGAATGGAGACGACACGAGTCTGTCGGTCATCGCCTTTTGTTCCACAGTTACCTATAGCAGAGATTATAGTGAAGGACCTGGTATCAAAATGGACGCGAATGACACGATTTTTTTTTATTGTAAACAGAAAAAAAGGGCATTGAATTTGTTATCTTAGCTGAAGTGCTAGAATGTGTATCGATTAGTGTGAAGTGTGTTGATATCAATGATGAATACCTATAGGAGTTTTGGACTTGATTGATTAATATCAGAATGATCAGACAGGGTTCGAAGCGCAAAACACTGCAGCCTTTAGACCTATTGTATTTCTGATCATGCTGTTGACTTAGGTGAACAGGTTCGCTACCTTGATGAGGTTTAGCAGCCTCTTCACCAAATCATTCTTAGAAAATGCCTCTTGAGAGCTTACTGCTCCCAGAATGTTGTTTCTCCAACGCGCTAGTGCTTCGCACTCCAATATTACATTGGTGGCAGTTTCCTCCTCCTCATTGCATAGTCTGCATATGGGTTTGTCTGTATAGATGCCCATTTGATGCATATGTTTCCTCAAGGGGCAGTGACCGGTTATTAGTCCCGTCACTTGTTTGATCTGACTCCTGTTTAGGCTCAGAATGTCGTTAGCTCGGTCGTTAGTCACTGTTTTGGACAGTGTTCCAACCATCAGTTTACTGTGCCTTTGTCCTGGGACATTGTTCCAGTATGCCTGATGTCTTTCTTGCATCCACCTTGCCAGCCAGCCGCGTATTGAGGTTTTGGGGATTGCGAACACAGGTTCCGGTCCCATAAACAACGTCGCAGATCCTTGCCTGGCAAGAGCGTCAGCTGCTTCATTGCCTTCAATCCCCTTATGCCCTGGCACCCATTGGAGAGTTACCTTGTTGTGGTTAGCCAGGGTTAGCAGGCTTTGAAGGCGATCCCAGACCAGTTTTGATCTGATTTTATTGCATGTTAAAGATTGAATGGCCGCCTGACTATCTGAGCATATGAGGATTTGTTTACCTTTGTATCCTCTTACAATATTCTCTCTCAGGCATACCTCAATAGCATGCACCTCTGCCTGGAATACTTAAGCATACCTTCCCAAGGAAGCACACATCCTGGTTCTGGGTCTATCTCCATATATTCCGGCTCCCGTGCCCTCATCAGTCTTAGAACCGTCAGTGTACCACACTAACGTGCCTTCCTGACAGTTAGTCAAGACCATTTCATCCCAGTGGAGCTGAGTGTTGAAGGGCCTGTAATAGTTATTTCTAGGCAGCATTTTGTCACTTCTCATATCCATTAGTGGGCTTAAAACTTGTCTGATTATTTTTGTATGTCCCAGGGAGTCACCCCGAGCATGCCAGTTGCCACTACACTCCAGTCTGTATGCCCCCATCCTCGCTTCCGCCTTGATGAAGGTTTCAAGAGGTGGAATATTGAGTATGGTTTCCATAGCAGCGGTAGGAGTGCTGCGCATTGCACCTGTGATGCAGAGACAAGCTAATCGCTGGAGTTTTGAAAGCTCCATCATAGCTGATCTCTGTTCAGTCTTAGGCCACCAGACAAGCGATCCATATACAATCATTGGTCTCACCACAGCAATATATAGATCATTAGTATGGTGGCCAGCCCTATGTGAGGAGATCAACCGGAAAAGGGTGGAAAAGGTACAACGACTAGTTGCCGTTCTCATGACAGGCTGTCTTAGGACAACCCCGACTAAAGCCCTGGAAAGGATCCTACATCTAACCCTATTGGACCTATATGGAAAAGAGTGCGCGGCTAGCACTGCTCTCCGACTCAATGCAGTCTCACCATGGCCTAAGGTGAACTACGGTCGCTCCAAAATTCTGGAAGAATTCAATCTTACCTTAAATAACACAGACTAACCGAAACCAACCCTGATGTTCGACCGCAAGTTCTTGGTGGACATTCCGTCCAAAGAAAAATGGGCGGCGAACTCAGTTAAGCCAAATGGGACGCTTTTCTATTATACAGATCTATACAGGTCCCCACCCCTCAACCTATCATTTCGCTTACCAAACTACTGCAGTGGTTTCCAGGCCGAAATAGTAGCTATAAATGAAACAGCCAATTGGGTACTTCAAACCGGACTTGAGTCCGATGAAACATCGATTCTAAATGACAGCCAAGCTGCCATTAAATCAACAACCTCGTTTCAATGGAAATATCATAGATGTGTCTCAAATCCTAAACTGAAAAGGGTCATAAGGCAGAATACCAGTGAGAGGTATCTACATTATACACATCAATGAATTCATATATGCACCTCATTTTTTCTCAGTACTTCCAGGAAATATTCGTGTTTTTGAAGATACAAACGTGACAAAGAAATAAACTATTGAAATCAGCTCATCAGCTGTGAGTAACTCAGATGTTGACAAAATCAGTATCTACTTCTACCAACTTTTGTAACAATGAGCCAGATGTAAAAGTGAATTCAATCATATTTCATATTCAAGTATTCAGATCCTGTTGAATTCATCGCCTATACCGATCAAGAGAAGGAAACCATATGATATGATGAAAAAAGTGCTTCAATTATTTTACATACCCACATTTTCTATATATTGATCTTCATCCTTTACATAATAAATTACATTTTATATGGATATTTTATTCTCGTCATGATTGGAAAGCATATTCTATGCATTATATATACAGAAGATATTCCTTGCATATGCCACCAATATCTCCTGAAAGATATTCCTGGTATCTGTTTCATGGAGACTTTGAATATTCCTTGAATATGTATATGACATGCTATCGAGGACATGGAATATCCATGGCCTATTCCAATATCCCACGGTTTCTTGTGCGCAACCACAAGCTAGATTCTACTACTTTTTTCAATAAATAACTATTGCTAAAAAACAGGGATTGAAATCGTTTCAGGAACGTTGAAAGGCTAACTCGTTAACTTAAAATCGTGCATGTTTGGTTTCCTATACTACGATCATGCATTAATAGACAAATTGATCAGTAATAGGGGTCATTAACGATGAATTTCATGAACATGAAACATACTCGTTGATATTCGAGGTCGACGGAAACTAGCTTTTCGCACGAAATGAAATGCCGAACTTCTGTTCATTAGCTTTCAAGATGGATCTCAAAATGTTGAATTCCTGCACTATTATCCAACACCTGTTTTTTATCGAAATCGTTATTTTTTATCATTTGTTATGAAAATTACTCACGTATGAATTCCAGGACACCTGATCATGATATAATTGATCTATGTAAATATATGAATAGATAATCGCGTGA